CCTGGTCACTCATCTGGAAAATTAGGTCAGATCCTGCACCTAAGGCAAGTCCAGTAGTGTGCATCCTTAGATGTATCATAGATGCAAGTTTGGACAACATAGGATGTATGGTTACTTGGAAGTGATCCTGCTCCAAAAACTTTAACCTGCTCCAAAAATATTTAACTGGTCATTCTTCAGCGGAAATTGCAGCAGCTGTAACCTTGACTGGTACAATGAAACACACTAGAAGCATCCTCCATGCATCTCTGATTAAAATAGGGCATAAAGAAATTTGAAAAGAAACCTACTCCAAAACTTTAACCTGGGATGCCGACACCAAGGGTATTACATAAGCTCCCCAAACTTCGTTGAGGTGAGCTAAAAATCATCTGCTATATCATAACCACCTGTGCAAACTTTTTTTTCCCCGTACAATTTCAAAAAACAATATTAGGTCACAAACTGAGAATATTACCTTTTCAATTCCTTCACTGTCATCTTCTATCCTTTTGCGAACAACACGATTGATATGGAGCAAAATGATATTTCCATTCTTTATATGGTGTTTCCTTTATTTTTATTCTTTATCAAATTATTCAAGATATTCAACTCACACACTCGCACTTAAAGTGTTTCATGTTTATCATGTTGATTCAGTATAGCTTTATACACCCCAAAACAAGATACCTTTCAGCAAAGAATACTACTTTAATCAAGCACATTGGAACTAAAAACCATAATGAAAGTTAACTTAATTGAATTTTACATTAATTTAACAATTCTTCAATACAAGCTGTGTACAAGTTCTTGCTATCATCATCAGTTCTCAATTTGACATAAAAGATATCTTGCTTTTTTGGAAATCCAAACTTACACAGAAAAAAGTTCTAATTATCCTGTGAAAATTCATGTCTGGTAACAAACATTATCCCCCCCCCCCCCCCCAAATGCATTCTGTGCACCATACTGAAACAACATGTAATGTAGATCTCCACTCCAATGTTTAATGAATATCATCTTCATACAGTCTATCAGGTTTTTTGTTTTCTAGTTCTTTTTTTAAATATTTTATAATGACGGAAAAAAACACTGATAGCTGCACCTACCCATTTTTTCTTCTATTGGTGCTATGAAATTTGATAAATTTGGTTTAGAAAACAGCTTTCCAAGCATTTACTTAAAATACACTACTACCTACCAACTACATTCATTTTTTACAACACTGACAATGAACACCAATATACATGTACATTGTATATATTTTAGGCTAAACTCTAATTGAATTAGATTTCTTGTCTTGTACACAGCTCTTTCTCTAACTCTTCAGCACACAAATATAAACACGCTCTACGAACACTTTATCAATTTAGCATACACTTTTGGTAATGAACAAATATGGAATGAAACTATCCAATTGCTAAGAAGTGTGACTAATATCATGACTGAAGATGACTACTATTATCATAAGCCGAAGGTTTAATAGACACCCATTCCTGTAACCATGGTAACACAATGCTTGCATCAAGCAGAATTCACTAGTTCACATGAATATTTTAATATTAACACCATGATTTTTTAAACAATGAAATGACCGTTTCTCTTGTTGTTGTCTGTAATGACAAGGCCCACTCTATATTAAAATATGCTTACTTTACTTTTAAATAGTTGTGTGCCGATTTAAATTAAGCATTGATAATTGACAATAAAATGAATGTGTACAAAAAATAGAAAATTGGGAAAGAGGTATGCATGTAAAGCTAAAAATAAGATGAACACTAATTTTAAAATTCAATATGGAAATTTATACCAAGAGTGACTTACTTGGATTATATTATAGGGAAATTTTTAAGATAGCTTAGATTATCCCTCTTTCAATATTCATGAAAAAGATCAAATTCTACCTACTGCTGTCGAAGGTTCACAGGATTGGGCACAGTTAAAAACTTAGAGCTTGCGACAATGTATAGTCACTTCCATGAAGCAAAAATATTCAAAAAAGATATCACAAAAAATATTTTTTTAAAGGTACAATTCATGTCTAATTGTACAAATCTATGAAAAGATGCAGATATCAAGGATTTCCGTTTTTTCTTTTTGAAACCATATTAATAAATTATAAACAAAATTAATGATTCATTAACTTAGGAGACTTTTAACTATGCAGAGGCAAAAAGGCAAAAACCCTACAGAACAAACACCTCATTGTTCAACAAATTAAAAAGCATTCAAACTTGCATTTTACATGATACTAGAGAACTTAAACTGCAAGTAAACATTATGTAACAGTCTGTATTCTAATGATTTACAGCCTTAAAGATAATGCAACTGTATATAGTTACCATAATTATAAATTTTGAATTCATCGATGACATTTTCTCAGAATAGATGTACATATTAATGAATATTTCATGGAGTGTGTAATGTAGTAATATTTTTATCTGTGGTAACACACTATTATGAATAGACTTAAATGATCCTAAGTTTAAATACCTGCAGAACTGTAGCTCTGATTGAGAAAATTCAGATAGACAAACCAGAGAGCTACAGAAGCTCCAAGCAATGTAAAAACCTCCAATTTTATGGCGCTACTTTTTGTTGCACACTTTCAGTATTATTTCTAAAGCATGGTATCCATTACTTAATTACCGTAAGTTTTGGGGTATAGGTCGATACTTTTTTTCTCAGAACCGTTGGGGTCGCCCAATTTAACGAATCGACCTTTCTAAGGCTCAAGTTTATGAAAAATGCCCCCCAAATTAGTGAAATTTACGTCAATTTCAAAACAAATCTGTGCCATTTTCGTAACTTTTTAAATTATTTTACCGAGAAAAAAGTACTAAACAATAAAAAAAATTAAATATCTTCCATTGATTTCTTACAAAATAAGTTCCATTAAATATCCGTCGATGTACAAAAAAACATTATATCATCTAGTAAATAATGTCTCAACGTATATTTACAACATGCTGTGTCCATCTTGTGAAGTTGGAAGTCGCAATCGCTTACTAAAAATAAAACCGCAACCGTATCAAAGTTTAAAATACGAAAGCGTTTTCACAATCGCAGTTGTAATCTTTTTTTTTCCATTTATTTGTAACAATTAATTGAAATAGTATACCTAAATATTTTTTCATTGTCTTGTGATATTTATTTAAATGTAAAATACGTGAAATAAATTGTTGCCAGTAAATTCCTAAAATTATTTACCAAATATACCGCTAGTCATAACTATTTTGTTTTATATCCCAAGGGGTACACTGAATTATACAAAGATTGGCTTCTAATAGAATTTTAATTGTCTGACAGATAAAGGGATATACACTGTGTACACAAAGGTGTTAACACCTGTGTTGGTTAAAACACCTGCGGGGCATGATTAAAAGATCCACGTGCCGTTACAGGGGTATTAGTGCTATACATCATTGAACAAACAAAACTGTGAAATTCATAATGACTGTTAAATTGCGAATGTACTCTCAATTAAATTTATTTTTTCAGCAATATCTCAAGCAAAATTATAGCATGTTAATATAACTAATTTCAATTGCTCACTGTTACATGTACTGGTAATAGTCATTTGCGTGTTTTAGCAAATCCCTGGACAAGAAATATAAAAATGGCGGTCATCGAAGTTAATATTGTACCCCGGTAAATAACGTCGGAATAAAAGAATGTGTCCAAGATGTTCTAAAATGGAAATGGTTATTGGTTGATTTCGGGTATTTCCCTAATAATAGCTGTTGTATACTACCGTATTTATGTGTTTAAGGACAGAGTCAAACTACGACGGCATTGAATAGGCAAGTTGGAGAAAATATGTTATATCACAATTCAAGGAAATTTTAACTATGTTTGTATAAAACACTATTAAAATGCTGCACTCATAAAAATACCAGTTTATTTTCTCAATACGTTAATATCACGGGTTAAATTAAAGAGGTTTACATGTTCTGATACATAGTATATAAGTAAGAATCTCTAGAAAATCGATAAACAAAGCTTCGTCCTATCTTCCGGATTCGTCCTATCTAAGGATTTTTTAAAAATTACGGCTGAAAATGAGCCTTTCGACCTATATACCCCATCGACCTATACCCCCAAAATTACGGTATCCATATATTTTACTCCTCATCTTGTTGCTTTATTTATGTTAAAATATGTTGGGAAAATTTACACACCCATGTTTTATAAATCTAATTTTTTTCAATATAAACATCGTCTTCTTTTAAAGATTTGACCCTCCAAAAATCTTCACTTAGATTTTCTTGGCATGTGTATTTTCTTTAACAAGCGTCTTTTAGCATGACCCCAACATGGATGTCGAAATGCAAATTTTTTGAAACTGACATTCCAAGGCCACATAGGCCTGTTTGGAACTATTGAAAAAGTAAATAAAGTAACAAGATTAGGAGTAAAATATATGGTTAATTACCAGATACCATACTTTTGGTGGGGGAACACATATAATAAAAGAAATCAAACAATACCCGAAGCATGCGACCAAAAAAAAAAAAAAAAAACAGCAACATAATTCAAATATTTTACAATGCATAGATGTGTAGCTCTCTGGTTTGTCTCTCCGAATTTTCTCATCAAGAGAGCTATAGTTCTCCAGCTAAAGTTTCCGCTGTGTTGCATAACACAAAATATTAAGAGTTCTTTTCAATTACAGCTAATTCAACAAGAATTTGAGATTTTTTTTAGTACATGTAGTTGTAAAGCCCAAATGTTGCCAATATCTATGTCCATTAGACCCTAACATAACTGTACTCCTTGATATCTGCATTGGGGGAGATTTGATGTTCAGAAATGTATGCTTTGGCACAATTTTACCTCTTGTTATGCTTTTAGAGCAAAATTATCTTTAAATTCCAAGTACCAGAGTATTTCATTAAAATCATATTTATTTAAAAGCTTTGTCAAAACATTAAGTCAATCATGTCTTCATTTAAAAACTTTTATCAAACATTTCTTGAACAACAAACTCCCATGTCACAATAAAAAGAACAAGTACCCACCTTTATACTGTGCAGGTCCCCCAGGGGGATACACCCAGGAATTAGACTGATCCCCACTGACATTGCTATCCTCATTAGACACATCCTCTCTCATCCACTCCGCCTGGGGATCTCCCTCTTCTAGGTCACCATGCTCCGCCCTCTGAACTCTGATAGCCTCAGCCCCTCCCCCTGCGACATTGATGTACATTTCCATTGCAGCTGCCTCTTCATCGTCAGATTCAATTTTAACTATTGTGAGATCAGTGCTTGTTTTTTCGGGAGATGGAGGCTTTGAGGGTTTCTTTTGGTTTGCTTCTTGTGTTTCTCTAGCATTACTGGTACTGAAAAAAAGATGAGAAATAGAAATATTAATAAAGAACTTCACATTCAATGAAGGCTGCCTAACCATAAGGTAAATTATTCCCTAATTCTCTCTCCAGCAGTCTTGATCAAACTCTAGTTGACCAAAACCAAGATAACTTTACTAATCAAAAAAAGTTTACATTAAGTAAATAAAGTTTCAACTTACAACTGTAAATGCACAGTGTGCATGTGTGTGTATGTTTTTTTTGTTTTTTTTGTTTTTTTTTACCAGCTTCATTATTGAAACAAAAATATTTTTCATTTTAAACTTGCAAGTAAATATTAGTGTATCCACCCAAAATAAGTAAATGTTAAAATATAGAACCCGAGGTCTCTGAAGAGACTGAAGCTCTACTGGTTTTTTTACTTATGACAAAGGATGAGAAAAAACAGCATTTGGACTTGGAACTATGGGAACAACAATAAACAGTTACAATCTTTGGTTTTGTCTCTGTGTGGCAAGTTTTACTATTTGGTTTGAACATACTGTACTGAACTCAGTTTGAAACTATAGGAGGAATATTTCTTTTGAGAGAATTTCACAGTTATTCTAATCATAAAAACCTAAGGAAATTACAAACACTTAATATACAGAATTATGTATCATAGAGTACTCATCTTGTGAATAATACCAAGAATTACTGAAATTGTCAAAGACCGTAAAAAGCATTTTGAAAGGATTTCACCAAAAAAATTTCTATTTTTATCAACCATAGCAACACTGATTATTTGAGTCAAAGATTAATATAGGGAATTATCTACCTTAGTGTTATTTACTTGTGTAACAAGATTTACTGAAATCGGACTAACAATGTAGGAGCCTAGGAGGAGTACATTTTTGAGAGAATTTTACAGAAATGTCTATTTTTTAATTACCATGGAAACACTGTTTGTTTAAATAAAATATACATATGCATGGAATTATGTATTAGAGTATAGTCTACCTATGTACCAAGTTTTGTTGAAATTGGACCAAAACTGTAAGAGGAATAGGGCTTTGAAAAATTTACACACACAGACAGACAGACTAACAGTTGGACATCACATTATATACCATTGCATTATAAGCTCCTCTGGTCTTTGACAAGGGGTTTCAAATTTACCCAAAGAATTGGTGAATGTAAACCAATAAATAAAATACAAAAAAGAAATTTTGTTAAAAGAAAAGAAAACAAACCCAGTATCTGATATGGACTCTGCAGCATTTGTGTTACTGGACAAATCTGTGTTCTGTTGTGGTGGCTGTGAACTCTGACTCTCACTACCTGCTGCAAAAGGCTTGTGTGTTGATGGCTCTGGTCTGACTTGTGGAGAACTACGATTGCTGAAGTGTGGTGATGATGGGGACATGCCTGGTGAACTACTGACTTGTAATTTGTCATTCATGACTGGTGTGGTAGAATGGCTGGATGCTTTGGGGGCTGGGTGAGAATTTGTAGACTTTCCGTTTTCGGTGGATGTGAGGGTTTGATTAGCGGGTGCTACTCGGCTATGTAATGGCATACTGTTGCGAGATCTAGGTTCAGGTCTGGCCTGTTCTGTGGCCACATCAACAATCTGTAGGTTAGTATTGTTACTTATTTTGCTGGCCACTGCAATGGAGACACTTTTCTGAGACAGACGCTGGTCTTTGTTTGACCGATCACCACTAGAATCAGGAGGGTCAGTCTGAATCAATTCCAGACTATCCTCTACAATGTCAATAACTCCTGGCTGCTGGGATCCCTGTCCTCCTCTTGCATGAAAGGGCATTCCTAACTTTGGGACTCGATCCCAAGGATCTGGAGCCACATGACTATAGCTGCTAGCCATTGATGCAGCATCATCAGCATGCATGTCTTGTGTTCTCTGTCTCTTGTTTCCAGGACTGGGTGGTTGGGGGAAATCTGAAGTCCTCTTGGTGGTTCTTTCCTGCACTGTCTTCTGCATTTCTGATGATCTTACATGCTTAAACTCCACCATGTCATGAAATGTGTACTTGTACTGATCATTAGCAGACATATGTCCCGTTTTAGAGCTCAGGCATTTATTAAAGTCTGCACAACACTTGATAACATTATCCACTTGTAACAAGCGAGCAATCTTCTCTACATCCCGGCAGTTCTGTTCTGTTAACATCATGAAGCCTTCATAAAGATACTGTAGAAATGTCTGGATGGATTCCTGTTTGATGTCTGCGGCCAGACGCACTTCCAGGTGAGATCCAACTGCAGCATTCTCCATGGACTGTAACATTGGGCAGGCAGCCACTAGTACCACACGATGAGCCTAAAATTGTCACATGATAGTTCTATTAAATCACACTGACATTTTAATGCAAATCAATAATAATAGATTATTAAGACAATTTGTTTCTTCTGCTTCTCTTCTCCTAAATTTTTAATTTATTTGATGAAAATGAAAGTACCACAATATATTTTTAATAAAAAAGTTTCAACACTGCCTTTTAAAATGGAGGAATTTGGATCCTGTTGATTTTTTCAGAAAATATCTTAACTCATGCCTCTAAGTGGGAATCAAACTGTGAAGAGCAGCTAGCTTGTCTCTTGAAATCTCAGTCTTTTAGCTTGAATTTTGTAGACAAGGATAGTTTTATAGATTGACACAAACATGTGACTCTGTTTCACCCTATCACAGATAGCCACCACTGTTTTCTCCTTTTACCTACTTATCAGATATTTTAACATTAAAACTTTTAAACAAATTCAAGTGAAATCTTATCTAAGTGTAGAGAGTATAGTGCAAAGAGCATGCGCATTAATTATGAATCAGTAATAACTGTTAAATTTTCATCACACATGCTTACTGGTTTGACAATACAAAATTCAGCCAAAATAAATTTTGATGTATTGAAGTACATGTTCTGTTGCACTATATTATGTTATTTTTTTTCAGCACTGTGGCATAAAGTATCCTTTCCTTTCTTTTCCAAAAAATGGGACATGATTACTCTAAATCATACCTTAATATCCATTAAAAGGAGATTTTTTAAAAAAAAATATTATCATCCCTTTATTTTTGTTATATGTCTTCTAATTACCTTAACTGAAATTTACCTTCAGTGTTCAAGTATGCATTGGACAGTGTAATTAATTAGTAATTTACATGTCGAGTCACCACTAGGTACATATGGAGAGACAAGGTGTATTATGTGGATAACATGCAGAATACCAGGAAATTAATCAAACCTCAGCTTGTCACTGTCTGTTTAGTTTTCTGCATGAGGTATTGATTTATTCCATCCTCATGTACATGTACGTGTTGCATGCTTAATTAGCATGATTACATTGTCATGTACGTTAATGCAACCCCGAATAAATTGACATTTTGCCTAGGAGGGAGGAAAAATACCAATGAATTTGTTAACAACATGTAGACATGTACTGACACTTAATAAATCATCTGTAATCTAGGTAAACTACATGGATCCAAGTCTACAGATGAATAATTAACATCAACTGAACTACATGTAAATTTAGTCATTAATGTTCCAACATAAAACTTATTTCTTTACACCGAGTGACACGGACATCTCTTAAGGAGTGATGATATATGCTACAAAATTTAGAATGATTTCTTTGTAAAAGAATTTACATGTCAACTAGGTTTAGTGTAAAGGTGAAAAATAATTACAAAAATATATCTGTTTTTCAAAAATATGTTCTTTGTATTATTTGTGTTGAGTCAGGTGTTAGTCAAATTTTTGTGAACAAGCCTCTACAATTTATAAAAGCTTACGAATTTTTTTATGTGCAATTCTTATGAAATGAATCAACACAACTGATTTTTTTTCTTTTAGTATTTCTGTTTTGTTTTTTAGTTTTGTTTTCTTGTTTGTATGTTTTTTTTTTGTTTTTTTTTATTATTCATGTTATTTGGACGGTAAAAAATGTGGTACTGCTAGTTTTGTGTGAGAGGGTTGAGTGTATATGGCACAGTCCATTAATCCCTCAAATTCCCTCCCCCATTCCAATGTGAAATAACAAAATTACAACTGTTTTATAAAAATTTCACCTTTTACTTGACTGTTCTTATTTCATACACATTATTTTCCAAAATTATGTGTTACATATTAATAGCCGGCATAGCAAAGTCGAATTCTGCTTAAACTGTTGAAGCCTGACTTGTGAGACACATACAGCTTTGCTTTAAATATCTAACATCTACCATATGTATGAGATTGTATTAATTTAATATAAATATAATACCTTTGTGACAACAGATCCGGACCGGATTATAGCATCACATAGCACCTGGCTCTTCCACATGGTGGCCAGCTGACACAACAGTGAGCTGGAGTGGATCTGGTTAGTGTAAAACTTCTGGTAACAATTCATGGTGACTGCAAAGAAAACAAGCTCCCTTAACTTTTTTAAGTGCATACATGTTTTCACAAATTTAAAGAGTAATATATATTTCTTTCATAATCATGATAATACACAGTATAAATACAAATCCTGAAAGATTTCTTTCTTCTATTTTAAGACATTCATCATGATCAGAGTTGCAAATTGTTCATTACAGTCAAACCTGTCATAGCTACCACCTGTGTTAAGCAACTTCCTTCATATGCGACCTTTAAATGAAATAAAATGACATCAACATAAAAAGGGTTGTTGTGTTTTTCTTTGCGATCATCGTAGTGTTTTGATTTTCCCTTTCTTGCAAAATCTTGTCATGGGAGCATGGGTAGTTTTTATCCTCAACATTGTAACAGTTGTAAAGTGTGAAACACATAAAAATAAACTTGTTTTGGATTTTCTTTCAAAAAATAAATTTACACAAATGGGAACAAAAACTTTTTTCTGAACAAATAATTGTTGAATACTTTTTAACTATCAAGAATAAAAATGATTCAAATCTATGATGATGATCAGTGAATAGGAAAACAAATTCAGATATCACTATTTAGTATTCATGCTTGTACTTTGAAATTGCTAGAAAATGATTCTCTGATTTATGAGGCTACCTGAACATATAAGGTGGTAGACCATTTTAGAATTTCTGGTGATGTGTTGCTAAATACAGGTTTGACTGTAATTGTTGATAATTATCCTGTATGTACACATTGAATAAGAAACCATATTTTCACATTTGCCTTTATCAACCACAGGGTTCGACATTCACACTCGTCACCTCGTCATTTCCATCCGGGAATGATTTTGGACGACCTGATTTTCAGTCTGGCTCGCCCAAATGATGACCTGGGACAAATTGGGAATATTCAATAATGATGATTAATATTTTAAATTAAACTTTAAAAGGCCTTGAAAACATTGTTTCCTATAACCCGACCGATCCATTCAAATAGAAGCCGCGTGAATTTTTCTTTCTGCCAAATCTGTGTTTGATCAATCAGCTGATGTAATTTTTACAAAAAGTGTTAAATTAAGTTTTATCTGAGATATAAAATATGTAAACCTAGTCAACAATCACGATAAATATAAAGAGTAATGATCATAATTGTAACATCTAGCATTTCCAGTGTGCGAAACTAACTTTTTAAAGCTACAGACAATTGGTCTACAATAATTTGAAGTTCTATAGACCTGAAAAATTTCCTACAGACCAAAAAAAATTACATATCATTCTTTTTATTTAATTGCATATTTTTCAATGGCTTCTTCTTTTTCCCTACACTGCATTATATTATGCATTGGCATAAGATACATGGACATTTATAACCATGATTATTAAGTAATGAATTTAGTCTTTTTTTTTTTTTTTTTTTTTTTACACTTTGAACACGTGTTCAGATGCAGGGAACATTAAAATTTCTACGAAGATTTCAATTCAATTTTTATCATTTTTTATGTATTAGTTAATCAATAGTCATGCAAATATATCACTGAATTTTTTATATATTTATTAACTATCTTTCTATCCCCTTTTGCAAAGGTGCATAGAGTGAATATTGACATTTTTTTTTCATGTTAAAATTTTCAATCTACTTTAGTTATATTTTTTATGTGAAATCAAACCAACACCCATTCTTTGGTTTACTGAGTCAGGAAATAATTTTATGGGATATTTAGTCGTATTTACAATAAACAGAGGAATTGAGGAAATTCGGACTCTAAAAAAAATTACGATCATTTTAGGAACATTTAGAAATGTTTAAATAAAACATGTACTACTGCAAAATGGATTAAATGAAGGAGATTTATGAACAATAGAGCATTGAAGCTTAAGTTTTTTCTTGTCTGAAAAGTTTTATTGAGTAAAACGGCCAATTTTACTCTATAGACAAATCGGTCTTGAGGTATTCACCTTGCTATAGACCGGACGCTTTTTCTATAGATTTTGTCTATCGGTCTACCGTTAATTTCGCACACTGCATTTCCCCCACAACTTTCTGGTATCGGGTCTGTTCGCCCTATCTACCTGTTCGCATGAGTCCGTTCGCGCAGGGTCTGTTCACCATAATTCTTGTTCGCCCTATACCTCGTTCGCCCTAATATATATACCGTATACAGCAAATATTAAACATTTATAATTAATTTAATTCAATATTTTACGACTTGTTTTTTTCTCTCCAAATGTTGATAAAGTAATTTTTTTTAATTTAATCTTAATTAAATAATTCAAACTTGATATTAATGCTTTCTACATGCTTAATTGGTTTAATTATACTGAATAATGTCACTGTAATTTGGAGGTTCATATCCGTGTTTTTTACAATCTGCGTTATGTTTTGAAAACAATTAAAGGACTGAGACGTTAATAGGCCCATTATGGAGCTGAGCAGCAAATGAGCAAGGTTTACCTTTGAAGATTGATCAGTCTATGCGAAAGTCTAAAATTTTTACAGGACATAATGTCTGGTAAAAATATATATTTTACCAGACCAAGCATTTACTTACCAGACCGACCTTTTTTCTTTAAATTTAATCATACATCATTCTGATAGAGATTGTTAAAAGGAGGGGGGGGGGGGTCTCACTGTTAAATTGAAACTCAAATAAATCCAGATTTGAGATTATAAAAAAATTATTTTAGTGAAATGTACCAGCTTACTTTTAATAATTTTCCCTTATAAAAGGTAATATACAATTCAAAACAATTTTCCCTTTTTCTGGTTACTTGACACATACAAACGAAATACACATTGTCAAAGATTTTTTTAAACTTAAAATGCACTTTAAAATATATCTATTTCTTTCCTGAAGTAACTCATTGCGGTTACTCTTGTTTAATAATGAAAATAATTTTGCTCAACTGAATCTACGTATGAACTATCTATGCATCTATATTCCAAGACAGAGGAAATTCGAGTTAGAAATAAACGATCATGACAGGATTCTTCTAGGTTAAAATCAAACATGTATTACTGCTAAATGGATCAAATAAAGGATATGTGTGGACAATAAGATCATATGTACATGTAGATTCAGATTTTTAGGCCTTAATTTTTCATTGGACAATTGGTCCTGTATCCTGAATTTTTTTACCGACCCGAACCAAATTTTACCGGTAAAAACCGACGGTCCGGTGACTTTCGCATAGACTGATTGATAAGCCTTTTCACGGTAATTTCACAAGTAAATAAATAAGAAATAAAAATATAATTCATTGGAAAAAAATCCATTGGTTCATTACAACTTTCTGCAATATAAATAGGGCAAACGGACCCTGTGCGAACAAGTTTTAGGGCGATCAGACTCTGGGCGAACGAGAATTAGGGCGAACAGCATCAAGGGCGAACAAATTTTAGGGCAACCGAACATACAACCCAACTTTCTGATGGTCGTTTCCTGCTGCTAGACAGCCATGTTGGGTGTCCACTGTAAACATCACACCTGGTTAATTCAGTCCAGGGATGTTTGGCCCCATTTATATAGGCCTTTATGGTAAGTGAAAATGACTGTTTTAAACTAGAAACTATTTTGTGTCAATGTGTGAGATGAGATTGTACATATTAGCAAAACAAAAAACAAAAAAAAAACAACCTACCAACCCTTGATATTTATTTGGAATATTACAGGAATCAAACATATTTTCTTAAGCCTAATTAGCATTCTGATTCTGTTTATAATATTTGTTGCTTGTTTTCTTTGTTTGATAAAATACTGGAATTTAGCTTTTGACATTCCAAAAATGTCTGGTTTACATTTTATAATACAAAAAGCACAACTTCTGTTGTGCTTTTTGTTGTGAAAATTTTTAACAAATTTTAAACAATTGCACATATTTGTTTCATTTGATATTTTGTTTGGGCGACCTGAAATTCATTTGGGCAACCTGAAATCAGTACCAAGGTTGCCCAAATGGTGAGACCAAATTTTGATGAGTGTCGAACCCTGCAACCACCATTATTCCTTCATTATTTTACCTTTAGCAGATAAGAGCCTGCACTAGGACTGACAAATATCATTGCCCAACTACCTGAGATAATGTTTTTCATGGTAAGGCAAGTCAATTTTGCAAAGGCACTGTACAGGTGAACAAAAGTCCAATGAATTATTGATGTGTTTGAAAGCAAGAGTATATTTCATTTGTTAAACTTACTAATGGCAAAATTGCCAGAATTATGCTTTATATAACAATTTTTTTCCAAAGCAAGAGCAAGTGTATAATGTACCCTGATAATTCTGAAAAGACAAGCTTAAGAATGACATGTATGTACTATGCATTGATCAAATCTGATAACAAAGATGACTCAATTCAAAAGCAGAGTATTAAGGCTAAAGCAAGTAAAATATGACAAACACATGACATTTCACCTCTATTGTACTTCACCTATATACCATTGTACTATATACACATTCACAGTTTTATCTCAACTAGTTATTCAGAAAAATTCAGCTATCATGAATGGGCTCAGAAGTTTTGACAAGTTGGTGTCTTCATTTAATTTTTAAATTTCAAAAATCATTTGTTAGCCTGTGGGTTTTTAATGATTGGTATAAAACTCACATTTAAATTTCTAATGGAGTTTTCTGTGTTATAACAAATAACTAGGCTTTAAGTAGACCTACAGATGTGCTCAAAGGACCACACAACCTTTGCTCCAATAGATCCGCCATATTCTTTTTAGAGAAGTGGATGGAGAACTTGTGAAAATGGATTAACAATACTTAACGGTCAGTTTTCTTGTGACAATTGTGTGTATTTATGTCAAAATTGATAATATAACACGTCTATTACTAGTTAGAATATTCTAACTGTGTCTCGGGACAGGCCCTCACCACAGTTAGAATACGTCCCATATACTTGCAATGTAGCAAATCGGAGTGGATCCACTCCGAAATGATTCTGAAGAATACAAAATGAGTTGCACTGAAAATAACTACCAAATTAATCATAACAAACCTTTTTGAGATTGTATATGCCTTTTAACCTAAAAATTAATCCATATATATACGAAAATTCAACTCATTTTCTCAACGTTTTTTCCTCGCTTCAAATTTAACGCCATGTTGACATTCGGAACTCTCTGGATTCTTCATAGAAAATGCACAGAGTTCGAGTTATCGCCCGTGTTTATTTTGCTACATTGCGAATACACGGAACGAATTCTATCGTTAAACCGGGTCCGTAGGACAATATCATTTTAACGATAGAACATTCTATCTAGTCTATTACGTTCATTCAGACGTATTTTAGACGAAATGTCAGTTGAAGTGTAGACCGTCACCAGTTCGAGATTTACACGTTTTCCAGAATCAAAACATGAAGGCTTGCGAAGAGAAGTGGATGTAGGCGAAAGCCTGTCCACTTCTCTAAAGAGAATAGATCCGCCACTGTAAAAATTTCATAATGAGCTCAAGGCGCAATTTAGTTTGCCAGATGAAAAACTGACATTTTTAATAAATGGCAAAAAAAAATAAAATCAGTCCCTATTTGATTTATCAATTATGACGAAAGGTTAGGCATAGTTTAATCCCTAATGGATTCACTGGTCTGTAAACAAACAATAGACCGTATTGCGAACATGCCCGACCAAATCCTTCGCAGAAGAATATAAATTGACCAGAAATGCCTTCATTTCATGTGAAAACGTCCTTATTTTTTAAATCACTGTAATATACAAACCTTATGAATAAAGATGAAAAATGTCGAGATGCTATGTGAAGTGAAATTCTAACAAATAGTGTGACAGGAAGTGCAGTTTTCCACCATTGTTCATCAACTCAACCGATTGCGCATTCTTAATGCGCATGTTCTTTGTCGTTGGTACATGGGGGACCTAGAGGGGTACATGTAACAAGTCACGTCCACATGTACTTTCCCGAGGGAAAATTTAAGCTGAGAGTTACGAAAAATAAATAGCTCCCTACTAACTAGATTTTTTTCCATGTACACATTTCAATCATAGAGTGTTAGCTTCTGGGTTTCTAATCAGCTGCTAATATTGAATTGTTCAATATTCAGATATTTTAAAAGAGAAAGTGACAGCTAGAAAGAGAGAGAACAAATGCAAATGGAAGAATCAAATTGAAACACGAATATTAAAATAAAGGTAACACATTTACTTATACGTCTCTGTCCAATTAAGGATAACAATAATTTACATTAACCAAATACATTGAATTTACATACACAGCTCTATATATAGATATACATGCTGCATGCTGTTTTATGATTGGGGGAGGGGGGTACCGGGCCGGCTCGATCAGTTATTAAACGCATTCCAGCTAGATTCTACCATTGTCAATTTTGTAAACACAAATAGTAACAATATTGGTTGTCGTTGGGCCCCAATGGGAATAGTTACCATATCTTCCACTTTTTTTTTAAACAATTAAACCAGAAAGGGATTTTGCTTAAAAAGATCATATGATGCAAATTAATGGCTGAAATTTGTTGCAAATACCTCATTTTCGCCTAAAAAGTTCCAAATATGGATAAAATATGAATGCAGAAAAGAACCTAGCATTGAAATGGATTTTCTCCTGTCTGCAAACACATGAAAATCTCATATTTTTACTGTTGTACTCGGTTTATTTCTAACCATACGTGTGCATTACAAAAAGAAAAAAAAATAAAAATAAAAATTGAATAAACCTTAAAATATTGTGTTATATTCTCTTATGATAATAGAATTTAGAAATTAATTAGTTCCGTAATAGAACGTAATATTTTAAAGCAGAAAAAACGTTAATTAATGTATCCATTTATATATTGCATATCCAAAACAGTTCACACTTCACTGTTTTAGGTATAATATGACGATCCCATCACATGTACATTACCAGTCCTGTGACAAAACCTTTCAAAATGTACTTGATTTTTGACCCTGTGACGTTGACCTTGAAGTTTGACCTACTTTTCAAAAGAATGGGTGGACTTAACGCCCTATTTTGGATCTTTTTGCGACTACTCTACCAAGTTGTAAATGAAGTGAATCCAAAACATATTACAAGCGATAGAAAGAGTTACGTATACATGGTTATATTAGGTAGAAAATTTGTATAAAAGAAATGCCCGGTTGCCATGAATCAAAATTGAAGCAACGATACATTAGTGTCGTCTTCCGGAATTTGGCATGTACCCGGAGTGGTTTTTAGGTCACGTAATCAATATTAATAGAAGGCGGGGCTATCGATCGGCATCATTGTTGACATCTCTCTCCCTCCCTCTCTCTCTCTAGAAATTCGAATATGTGTATGGCATATTACAGCGATGTCAATATGAAATTTTTTTAAAAAAATGTGTGGACACGCAAAATTAAAACAACATTTATTCTGAAAACGGCAACCAAACACGCCCAAAGACGTGATTTAGAACGAGGTCAGGTTGAAGAATACAATGTAACTGTTTTCAAGAGTACACTCGCAGGTGGACATCACGTGATGAATTGTAATATTTAACAGGTCAATTGAAGTCAAGTCAAGGTTAACTCAGTCATAACAATGGAAACGAGAAGTTTGTTTTGAACATGTTTTTTTGTTAAATTAAGTGTGAGCGCACGTTTGTCGGCTATTCTCCTTTTAATATGACATTATTTTGTTCAATATACAACTACAGTTTTCTTAAGAACAGCCGACAAACATGCGCTGACTATGTATTCAGACGATGAAAAGCGCGTGACCCTGATTATCTTTTGATATTCAAGAAATCTTCAGACACCATGCCTTCGATATTTATTTAGTTTACCTCGAAAAGAGCGTTTTAAATTCACATCTGTACCATGAATACACGGTTAAGATATCGGGGATTTATATGATGGAAAGAAATAAACATTTTACGAAACTTTAATTTAAGGCATTTTTTCTGGCCAGTTAAGTCCACCCATTCTTTACCTTGGTCATAACTTTTGAATGAGGAGAGATATGGCTTTCATATTTCACTTGTACATTACCTGTGACAAGACCTTTCAAATTTACTATTATTTTTTGGACCCTATGACCTTGATCTTGAAGTTAGGCCTACTTTTCAACAAAATTAACATCGGTTATAACTTTTGAATGAAAAGAGATAGAGCATTCGTATTTGACATGTGCATTACCTGTTACAAGACGTTTCCGAAAATGCTATGATTTTTACCATGTGACCTTGAAGTTTTACCTAATTTTAAAATATTTTAACATTGGTGGTAATTTGTGAATGAGAGAAGACAAATATAAACAGGCGTTTATATTTGACAAGTACATTACCTGTGACAAGAAGTTTCTAAATGTGCTGTGATATTTGACCCTTTGACCCCATGTCCTTGACCTTCAAGTTCGACCTTATTCTGAAAAAAAAATTTATCACTGCTGCAAACTTTAGAAGGACAGTCGAGAGGTCATTCATATTTGATATGTGCATTACCTGTGACAAGACGTTTCCAAATGTACTATGATTTTTAACCCCGTGACCTTGCCCTTGAAGTTTGCCCTAATTTTCAAAAAAAAAAAAAAAAAAAAAAAAAAAAAAAAAAAAAAAGGAAGAAAAGAAAAAAACTTTGCCGATAACTTTTGAATGAGAGAAGCTAGGGCATTTATATTTGACATGTGCATTACCTGTGTCAAGACCTCTCCGAATGCACTCTAGTTTTTGACCTCATGACCGTGATCTTTCAGTTTAACCTAGTCTTTTTCATTTTTTTTTTAACATTGGTAATTACTTTTCATTGAGAGACGATAGGACTTTCATATTTTGCATGTACATTACCTATGACAACATCTTTCACAAAGGAATATCATTTTTGACTTCATGACATTGACCTACAAGTTTGAAGGACACACAAACAAGACAGTTTCAATATGCCATTAATAATTGCATCCCAACCGCTAAGACACCGAAAGCGAGGGACCACAATTCTTTGAATTTGCTTGTTTACCTTTCAACCTTGACTTCTGAGATTGACTAACATTTGGAAAAAATACTTTAACCTTCCCTGTAACATTTGAACGGTTGCTGTTTTCATATTTCACTTATACATTCCTTGTAAAAAGACCTTTTCTTTGGTACCATTTTTTCTGAGCTCATGACACTGACCTTGGAGTATGACCTATATAGCTACTTTTTGAATAAAAAAAAAATTAACCTTGGCCATATTTTCTGAATTGTTGGTACTAGGGCTATTATATTTCACATGTACATTCCTTTTGACAAGACCTTTCTTTGGTTAACAACGTTTTTGAACTCTTGACCTTTGAGTTTGACCTACATTGAAAATTTAACCTCGGTCTTGAGTTGCCATACGAAGCATAATATGTCGTTCGCACGAGATATTATGTCGATCGTTCGAACGAGATATTATAGCTCGTTCGCTTGTACGACATATTATGCCGTTCGCATGAAATAATTTTTGAAATTTATTTTTAATTTTGTACTGATAATATATTAAACTGACCAAAGTCTAATGTATTTAGAAGTTGACTTCAGTATTTGGATGATGAAAAGCTGGAAAATTCTGATCAAGTGTTTAAATGTATGTAGAATAAATAAAGTTATTTCTTCGGAAAACAAAAGGACCATTGCAAAATGAAAGAAATGAACTAAATGTCATGTTCATGTTTTATTTAAGACTTTTTCTGTAATGATTAAACAATTTTAGATGTCTTTTAGATGCCTTACTCTTTATCAAAACTAACAAACCCCCACCCCCACCCCCCGAAACACACACACACCGTCACACACACACACACACACCCACAAGCAGTTTAGATATATCTATCAAAAAATATATTGTGAACTAGTGGCGGTAAAAGAGAAAAAGTCATAGGAATGTTAATTCTGCATCTTGAATTGTCCTTTTATTAATTTATCTGTTTAAATGCTATGCATGAAATTCATTTGCAGTTGCGTGGTGAACATCATGATTCATTAATCGATTTGTTTGTAGTTTTATGTCTCTTGCAAGCTAAGATTATTTCACACAAAACAAATATTTCCTTTATTTCATATTTTGTTATGTTTTCCTATGAAGCCAACAAAACAGGATTACACACAGTGTGGTAATACATTGGCGGATCGAAAAACATGGAGGGCCCGGGGTTTTACTACCCCCCCCCCCATTTTTTTCTTTGGGACATTTGCGTAATTTTTCTAGAATTGTAATGTTTTAAGTATTTTATATTTAGTATTCATTGATTAGAAATATTATATTTAACAAAAACCTAGTATTTAACAAAACACATAATATTTTAGATCGATTGGATACAACCTACTGTGTATTCTAGATCCTCTGTCTTGAACACCCAACCCCTTGCAACTGTTTGGTCCGCCTCTGTAATGTCTGAGAGTTTAATGTAGCATTTTAGAAAACACTCGGGAGTGAAAAGCAAGTCTACCATCAATAATATCATATGTTAAGTTAGTATCGATAGCCTCTCTTTAAAATGAGTCACAAACTATACTCTGGTATTTGAACCACAGACACTTGATTCTGTAATATTTTTTTAACCAATAGTATAATGCAAGGTATCTAACTCCGTACATGGAGTACCCCCTCCCAAGAATCGTAGTCATTTACGCTTTCAGAGCAAATGCACTGGCAAACTGTTTATTACCATTCTCTATCTACACAACCACATATGGCATGCATGTCTTTATTGCTTTTATCTCCATAAACAGCGTAAAAACGCTGCTCGCCGACTGGAAAATTCGTCCCATACCATTTATATTAAGTGGACCGACGTGAATTGAGTATAAATTAAGTAATAGTGAGAGACTGATATTTTAAGGCCATTTTACACTGCATGAACATTAATATCGGGATTACG